CTATATGATTTAGTGGTGCGATATTGGTGATTTTGTTCCCAAAATGTGATCAGCATAATAACACACCGAATTTGGTTTCGATACCACACAAAATCTCAGCTTTAAAACGATTGTTTCTTTGGCAGCTATACGCTATAGTAATCCGATCCGGCTGTGTCTGATATATGAACTGCATACAGTCAAGTAACAAATCTAAGGGACTACGACGACGTCTCCTTCAATTCGAATACTCTCTGCGAGCGCATAATAAATTTATTCTGTTTTCTTTCCACTGAAAAGATAAACATCAACAGATTAAGAATCCTCTGAATACTAAAAATAAACACATTCCATTTTCACACTTCTTGGAAAACAAAACATCAGCAGTATAAAAGAAACATTAAAAAAAATGTACATGTTATAAAATTCCAACTGGGTTATTGGCCATAACTTAAGCCAATCCAACTCTTGTGTTTTAGGATTGTACTATTTTTGTTTAGCACTGACAACAACTATTTCCATTCAAGCACATTAGAAAACTCATCAAAAGATAACAAAAAAGAAAAAAAAGAAATAGTAAAATGTAATTCTATCAGCAATATTAATCGAAAGCAATTTTAAACAGATTTATTAGCCACATTCACGAATGTCAATTGGCTATTCATTTTGGTAAGTGATTTTGTCGCTTCATGTTGGCCATGTTTCATTTTGAAACGGCTACAAATTGATTTGGCATTTGCTCTCGTTGATTGATTCGATCCATTAATGCAGCTAGATGCACACTTCTCTAATAAAAAAAGAAACTGTCCAAAATTAATGTTTAGGCAAAAAAAAAAAAAAAGAAAACCTATTCAAGAATAGCCCACTCCGAGCTGAGCTTTGCGATCTGATTGATAAATGTACGCGAATGTTCTATATATACAAATCGATCGATTAATGTATGCAATAACATTTTTCATTCTACTCAAATAGATTTGTGTAAACTCAAATGGAATAATAAATATTTGTACTTACCTTACCTTTCTTATGTGCAGATGAATGACTTTCTTTGCAGTCGACGTATAATCTTTCAAAAACACAAAACAGCGAGTCGAGTTTGATTTATAATCTGTGTGTAGTCAAATTTTGTAGTTAAAGTCGACAGCTTTATTGCTTCAGACAGGGGGAGTGGCAAAAGAGGGGCAAGCACACTATAAAAAGAACAAAAATGTTGAAATGATATAGATGACATCAAATATGATGTCATAAACAATGCAAAAATATAACAACTAATTAAAAAAATATGTGAACAAAACTATCATCAGACAAAGTAATAAAATATTATTTTATTTTTAATCATACTAAAGAAATATAATAATGGTAAGGTAGACATACTATAAAAATAAAGTAGTACCAGACATAGTAAAATAAAATATTTTACATTAAGTTTACGTGATGAAAATTATAATAATTATTACAGATAAAAAAAATAATAATATACATAAAGTAAATACTACTAGAATGCTGTAAAATTTCAACTGTTAGGCCTGGGCAACACCTTATGTAGTATTCAACAACTTGATCTACTTTTATGAGTTTGTTGACTTTTTGTTGACTCGCGTCTCGTGCGATGATGTGATGAGAAGTCATCAGTGGTTTCCGTTGTTGCTCGAGTCCAAGTTTGAAAAAACGGCGCTAATTTTATGACGGCACTCGTCAAATGTCAAATACACCAAAGGGATGGCCAAAAGGGACTCGCGCTTAAGTTGCGGCTGGCAACTTTATGCTAATGTGAGGCTCACAAGTTGCACACTGTGGCAAACACGGGACATCCTTAATTTGCACGAGAACAGCCTGCCCGGTCGCAGCTGTGTTAATTACTGTGGTGAGTGGCACACTGCTCATGAGTCATGAATCATAACTTCCGTTGACGTTGCTCTCTCTCTCTCTCTCTCTCTCTCTGTCTCTCTCTCTCTCTCTAATTATGAGGCAACAAATGAATGAAGCAACCGTTTTAACTGCAAATAGTTGAGGGAAATCAAGGTAAGGAGGTGGGGTATGGGGGGGGGGGATATGGCAGTAAATCGTCTACAACGCATAATGAAGTCGTCTTGCAACAACACTGGGGCTTGCCATCAACGTGGCAACTCTCTTCGTACTTCAGCATGTGGCAACTGCGGCTAACCGACAATTTGTGCAGAGTTCTGCGACTGGAAGCTTACTTACTCAGCACAAATTGCTCTTAATTCACTTGGCTTACAGAAACCGAGTCAAGTCAAATAACGTTGTAACAACTTGAAAAGTGTTTAACTCACATCTCTAAAATACTCCTTAAAGCTAACAATAACCATAGAATATATATAGAAAACGGGCATCGCAAAAAATAAAACACAAGCGCATTTAAAATGTTTATTATTAATAGTTGTATTTACCTTTACGCTTTTATTTTGACTTTGGTTTCTGTTTTCTGTTGTTTTTGTTGTATGTTTAAATGCAGTGTGATAACAATATGTTTACTTAATGTTAATAAATGTATCAAATGCGCTTTGACATAAATCTTTTATATCAACTAAAATACATATAAAAAATTGTACAGTATCCTACGTGGTAAGAGGGGAAACAACAAAAAGGGAGCCTCTGAAATTTAAACGCAATTTGTAATTGGGAATTTTTCTTTGTTGTTTTGTTTTTTTTTTTTTGTTTCGGCGTTTGTTTTACTTAATGCTTATGATACTCTAGTAAAGACTAAAACTAACCTTTGATTTATTCAATATATATATATTTGATGTTCGAGTTTTATGTTTGTCATGCTGTCGATGCAATAAATATTTCGCATATTTATTATTATTTATCTTTGCACATTTATTAGTATTCTCTATTTGAATATGTTTAATGGTTTATGCTTTATTTGATTTCAGTTTTTGATCTTTATTTGTTTGGGATTATTTTTGATGACGCACTGAACTGAACATTAAATGCAATTTACCTGCAACTGTTTTTTTCTGTTTTTTCTTTCTTAGCTTTTTATTAAATGTATATTTATGCTATTTATAAAAGAAAAACCGAATTATCAAATAATTTAACTAGCAACAGTTAATAATAGTACGTAAATAGTTTACAATAGTATATATAATATATATATATATATAATATATTTGTATACTTTATAAGGTTTATCTCAGTACCATTCAAATGTCTTTTGATATGACTTAAGCAATTTAATGGTAATTTCTTTGGCAACTATTTATACGATCATATATATTCAAATATTCATATATATATACATATACACTATTCGACAAAAGATGTTGAACACTATCTGAACTATATAAAGTTGATTTATACATCATTTCCTATTTCTGGTTGTCTATGTGGCATTTTCAAATTGTTCTTGTTCAAAGTTCAAGTTGAATGTGAAATTCTCACAATGTTTCTACTGTTAATGAATCATTTTGTTATTTGTGTTTGTTCAAAATCAAATAAAAATGATTTCAATTAAAATAAAATTTAATTAAATTTCACTGAAATCTATTCTTATATATTTTCATTATTTCCTATTTTACTTGCGCTAATTAATTTATTACAATATTTTTATTAAGCCTCTGCTCGTTATTTAATAGTTTTCGCTTATGTTGTTTTTTCATTTTTTCTCTTTTTATTCTTGTTTTCTGTAATTTAATTATAAACAAATATGCAACAACAAATTCCATTATGAGCCCTTTAGTATAGTTTATGGAACAGCTATGTGTCTTTTTAATGCTTTTCCATTTGTGTTTTATTCTGTTCATTATTTTTTTGTTTTCCATATTTCTTTTGTTTTCATTTTTACTTGTTTCACTTTTGATTGTTTATTAAAAATATTAATCAGTCATTTGAATGCAATGAATTGCTGTCTATATGTATATATTTATATATAGTATGTGTATGTGTGTGTGTGTGTGTGTGTGTGTACGAAAGCACTAAATACTATACAATTAATAGTATATAGGGTTTCCATTACACACACGCACACCCCTCATCCCTCATCCCTTATCCCTTATCCCCCATCACCCTGCCCATTCCCAGTTGACTGTTAACAATATTACAATAATTAATATCATTCATTTGCATTGCGATGCAGAAAACTAAAAAAAAAAATTGGATCAGCTTAGAGATGGGCGGCAATGACGATATTTTATATTATAAAAATTTCTAAATTGAAATTCTAATTCTTACAGACAAACGGACATGATTCGATCCAGTCGGCTGATCAAGAATATATATATATATATTTTATGGGATCGGAAATACCTGTTTCTGTTTGATAACTACAAGAATACTTATCATTTTCATCGCACGCAAAACATCGTCATTCAGTCGTGTCACGTGCCCATCTCTAAGACATATAAATAATGTTCACCACTTTTGTGGGCCGATTTCGACAGAAATTTATTAAAAAATGCTGTTTGCACTTATTAAAAAACGAAATAATAAATCGTCTACTTTAATTGATTTATGAAATGAAAACGCGTTAATTGTTGATGATTCTCGCTGCTGCAGCTTCAATTTCAATTATTTATGCACATTGTTAGTCAATCTGATTATACTGGCATAGTTTTCTAAATTCACCCTGAATACACAATTTGCATAAATTGTTTAATTATTCGCATATTGTTGTCGAAGTCTCGTCTGTCTGCCTTTTGTGTTATGTTTATGTTTATGTTTTTATTTTGTTCTTTTTTTTTTGTTGCTTATTATCTAAAATTTACTTAGTGTAGAAAGAACTAATTCACTTACTTGTCGTAGGGGTGGGGGGCATGCGGATGCTTCTTTATGTCCGGCGAGTGGCGCATCAGTGTTGCAGCATGCTGCCCGTTCACCGGGGAGAGGGTTAGGCTACCCTCGTGGCTGCCACCACCGCCGCCGTTGATGGTGCCACTGGGGCCGACACCAACGCAGCCCGCCATCATTTTCTCCGTCTCCTGGCGGCTATTTGCCATTATGCGTCGTATTGTGGGCGCGCAGGGTGTGCGTCAGAGACGCGACTCCTGCACGTGCTCGTGTCAGACCTGACCGTGTGCGTTCATGTGGAGCGCCTCCCCAGCGTCTGAGGGGGCGCCGGAGAGTTGCGCCGGCGGATAATACTGCAACGAGGTGCAATTCAAATACTGTGCGGCGGTTAGACTCACATTAAGACCTCATAATTAACACGAAATAAGAAAGGGGAAAATCGTAGGACAATGCTTAATATAGTTATAAGAACATTTAACTTGTATTTTAAACCTCGCTAAACTCAGCAAATTTTCTTTCAACCCTCGCAAAATCTTCACCCTCTTAAGGTCAAGAGGTGATTGACCAGAATTTACTCTGTGATATAGTTGTACATTTAATTTATAGTTGTGTGGAAATATAACATAGTTTTTTCTCGATACATTCGAAGACACAACAGGAACTTTCAGTTCAACCCTCGGGAAACTATAAGACTCCTCATAAACTCTGCTTTCAAAGCCTGGAAAAAGATTAAGCACTTTTTATCAAAGTCCTTTAAGCCGTATGAAAGTTAAGAAACTCTTCTCTCAACCCTCGCAAGATTATAAATCACAGCCAAAGCACTCACTCCAAAGCTAACAAAACTTCAATACATAATCCCCATAAGCTAAACCGTTAGTCGTTATTATTTGTGGATAAGCTTGGAGGAGAACAGATAGCTTTCCATCACAGATATTATAGAAAATATTGATGCACATTGGGTCGAATTATTATTATTAAACATTAAAGCTACATTTTAAATGAAAGTGCCTTGCAAACTAAACTAAACTTTCCATAATTTTCATAATATCCACAAATTTACTTTGAGCTTTAAGAGGAAAAACAACCCTCAGGATCAGAGTAAATTAGTTGTAGCCTTAAGCCAAATGGACTTCAATGTAATATTTACTCACCCCGACACGTCCATTGTCGTAGTCGCGAGACGCTTGAATGGTCAATTTGGCCTTGGCGTGCATCGTGTCCGTCATCGCGTTCCTTTGATGTGTCGAGGGTAGTACGCCCGGAACGGAGTTGGGTGTGCGCAGCATCATGGAACCGTTACTTTTGGCCGCATTACCAACGCCAACGAGATTCGATCCGCCGCCAGAGGAGGAGGAGGATGAGGAACCGTTTGCCTTCCTGCGGAAGCAAAACTCAATAATTGCAACAAAGACGGCGACGAGCAGTCCACCGATGAGTATATAGAAAATGCCAGCCACATTGCTCAGCGAGAGCGCATTGTGCGAGGACTCGCGACTGTCCTTGTTGGGATTGCATTCCGTTTTGTCGTACCACCATTTGTTGCGAAGCTTTATCAGTTCGCCGTTCTCCTTCAGCGACAGCACAGCTAAATTAATTGGATCCCTAGAACAGTGGATAACGGTTATTAAGTACGTTTCGTATGGTTGGCATTTGCTTACAGCTACACTGGTGGCAAACTGGCAAAGTATATACACACACCTGTACAGTATGGCTCACAATCAATTGAAATGTAATTTAGTCCGTAGTTAAATATGACTTGTAAGTAATACAAATTATGAGCAGTTGAAAATGAACTCTGCAATGGAAGCGTGCTCATTCTGTGTGCCACCACTGTATTTTCTGAGTGTGTCTTACGCCCACGCTTAACATTCATTCCATTCATTGCCCTGCTCCCATACATTTCAAACGGCTTCCACGCCAATTCCTAACAGTATGTGGTATATATATAATACATATGTATGTGTGTGTATTGTACTTACTTGAGTGCTGAGCCAAGGGGCGTTGCTATGCCAAATCCCTTGGTATCCAAGTTGGGTCCCACTTTCATTGTGTCGCATGGCTCGCGTGCATTTACATATTCATTTTTCGGCGACTCCACGAGCAGGGCATATTTGCCCTTCGAGGTGCGCACTCGGCGAATGCCCTCGTCGTACGTATTGACAAAAACGTGCTTCCTCGAATTCATATATTCCCACATTCTGTTATGCAGTCCAATTGGAGAGCGCTGGAAACGAAAAGAAAGAAAAGAATTAGGCGCGCACACACACCATTTTGCACACAAGTAAGTTGTGTGGGTTTATTATGCAATGCTAATCGCATATTTAATCTATATAGTACAATTGCTCCTATTAAATTCAGTTTTTATTACAATATTCAAAAGAACCGAGAATGCGCTCCGTTACTTTGTCTTAACAGCACCGACTCAACAACGACTCTGCTAAGGTAAATCGATTACACTGCTAACATTGATCGATAACTGCTGATGAAGTTGCGCTACAGCGACATGTGTGGTACAAATGTAAAATGGCGCTTGTTAATTGGTACCCTAAGCTTTTCATACCAAATGGCACATTTTATGCTAATATTCTTTGTAAATACATATTGAAAATTGCTGTTAAGCTGAATAACTCTGTTAAACTACTTTAATAATAAAAAAAAAATATAATTTGATTGCAAACATTTCAATGCAAATTTAAAATATTGTACCTATTGACTAAAAACTGTGTTCCTTTACAATGTGGGTACAAATTAATGATGGTACTTTTAGCTTTTGTTACAGAGAGTACCTTCTAGTCTATCTCTGCCTTGCTCGCTTGCACAACTTGTGTCTTGTGTAATTTGAATAACTAGGCATAATCGCATGTCAAAGGTTATGCCAGACTCACCCTAAAGAAATCCCATGTGGAGCCGTGCAACAAGGTGCCGTATTGCACCTCCGTTTGCATGGCCAAATCCTCTGGCGAATTGATGGGCGTGACCATGCGCTCGACGGTGAGAAAGGCGGCCAGATTTGCCGTGTATGACGAGATGAGGATGAGCGTAAAGAAGAACCACGAAGCGGCCGCAATCCGACCAGAAACGGAACGAGGCGACAGATCACAACCCTGCTGCATGAATGCAGCCAGCGAATACCAGAAGGAGTTCCAAATGCTAAACTCATTGACAGCTGCTCCTGCAGCCGACGACGACAGCGATGAGGGCGACGCCAAGCCGCCCACAGTTGAGCCAGACGCAAGACTGCCTGCCGACAGCGAAGCCTGCAGTGCTGCGGCGCAAGCAGCTGACTGTACGCCCGGTGTGGGTGGCCCGGGCGGTGGTGGGGGAGGCAACTGGGCACCGCCAATGATGCCGGGGGGCTGCTGATTGGCAAGCTGTTCGTGATGTGCATGCGGATCTACAAGAAAGGCGGAGAGAGAGGGAGGTGAATGAGTGATAGAGTGTGAGGGAGAGGCAGAGGCACAAAATATGTAACCGCAGACAGCAAACTGAAAGTGGACAAGCCAGAACATGTGAATGCATGCATCTACACTCGAAGAAAAACATGAATGAATTTGCAAGAATATCTGTTTGAAATTAGAATTAAAATTTGATTTAGAATTCGTATTTTTGGACTTAGGAAATTCATTTAAGAAAAAGAATATTTAAATACACTTTCAGAATTTCTTTTATAATTTGTATAATGAAACCACAATGTGAGCAGATGGACTCAGTTCTGCAGTTGTATCAAATCTCTGAATTTTTCTGGTTTCACATAAAATACTAAAATAAGTAGAAAGTGTCTGGTCTGAGATGAGTTTTCTAACAGCGACAACAAAATTTGGAAATGCATTTTCTGTAAAATAAAAGTAAAGCTGCCCTTTGGCGATTTGCTAATTGTTTGTGCTAAATAATCTTCGCTCAGTGTATGCTAGACATGCATGCATGTACAACAGATATCCTTCGGCTGTCATCCGACTGGCAACTGTCAATCATTTCGTTGTGTTTCGTTCCGTTTCTGATTCGTTTCCTTTCGTTTGGTTTGACTTTTTGCGCTTGCTCTAATTGATATGCAATCAGGCGCATAGCCAAATCTGCTTCTCCAGCTGCTGTTGCAGCTCCTCCGGCTATACATCACCCCCCATCTACCTCCCCCCTCATCAGACACTTGCTTCAATTGGAAAAGCATCGACTTTCAACTTGGCTTCCTCTTTAAACTGACAACCAGTCATATCTGAATCTGAACATTTTCATGCACTCGCATTTCCCTCTGCCCCTTCCCCCACACCCTTTTATGCCCATGGCTTGTGTACAATTTATTTCTTGCAACACGTTGCTTGCATACAAAATGTTGTTTACTTTCCGCTAAAATTACATTAAGGATGTTTTGCAGGATGCCAATAGATTGTTATGAGCGGCAATTGTTAGCCTGTTCATATGTGACCCTCCACGCCCTTTTTTTTACGTTGATTGCCAGGCAAAGTGTCAGCACCACAAACAGGCAACCACTCAACCGCCCAACAGACAAGACCACAAAAAAATGGAATCCCATAATTGAATTATGCGGCAACGCATGCAAAACAAGTAGAAAGATGTGAAAACATTCCACTGTGTGTGAATAGTACTCCTTTTCACCCCTTACTCCCCCACATACACACACAACCCTCCCCCTTCTTTGGAGTCCTGTCTCTCGGTAAAACTCCCTTAGGCTTTGAGCTCGTAAAATCTCAATTTAGGTAATAAATGCGTTGACAGGATTTCGTTTGTACTCTTAATATCAGCAAATATAATTATATTTATCAAATTGCAAATTACTTTTTGTGTTTCTACTCCAAAAGGTTTAAAAATAATCGTAATGATCACCAAATACAATATTATATCAATATGATAATATAAAATTGCAAATTACTTTTAATAATTTTACTCTGAAAAGTATGCTTCAAAAATAATCGAAATATTTTCATAGACATTCATTACTTTTTATTCATTTCATTTCAATTGAACACAAATTCGTATTGCTGGTTGTAATCGATATTTATCGATTTTATGGAAATATAGAAAGTTGTCGATAAAACGAAATAATCAACATTCCAACTTGAGTTTTGCTCTCAATGAATCTATGAAGAAATAGTTTAAAGCTACTTTAAACTTATTTTCCATTAATGCTCAGCACTCTGTCTACTTGCAAAGGATGTTAAGGTGTTGAGGGGGGTATAAATAAGTAATATATTTACCTTGCAGCTGAGACTGTTGCTGCTGTTGCAACACACGCCATTCATGTGGCGAGAAACGCGACACGAAGAACAGAACGATGCTGACACCAATATAGCTGAAGATGACGCTCACCTGTAGAAAAAAGAGAGGAAAATATGAAAAGCGAGTTTTTTAAAATACAACGGATACAACATAATTCCACATGCCAGTCTGCCTGCTCCAGACTGCCTGCCTGCTACTTGTGGCATGCCACATCCTGTGTAATAATACTGTTTAAGTTTTAATAATTAGTTTAAGTGCATGTTTCTACCCTCAAAAAGTGATAAGTTTATCAAAACTGAGCCAATTTAAGAAGGAAATGCTTTGTTTTTGCCATGGATTGAGGTCTATTGTAATACTACATATAGTGTTGGCAACACCTGTTGAAGTTGTATCCCAAAAAAGTGCTTTACGTTTAACTCAACAGAAACCGGGGCTTTTATTTTGTCATGATGTGAACTTGAAGATTAAAACTGATTTTCAACAGAATATGTAGGCCAATCTTTGAACGTACTCATCAGCAATCAATGTTTCAAGTTTTGTGACGGTAGCTTTATAATTACCTTTATAGAGTAGCTGGGAAAGCGTTAAAATCAAAACTTTTAACAAATACAATCAAAGTTTCAAGTCGCTAGCTTAAGCGGTGTTCAGACGATCCCTGAAGACCTTATTGCCTTGCTTTAAGTGTATTAAAGTGAAACACAAAGCGTGATAAATGCAAAGACAGGATATAGAATTTCACCTGGCTGCTGCAGACTGCCTGCCTGCCTGACTGCTATTTACATACATATACATTAATATATACACAGTGCAGTGGCACATAGTAAACTGTATAATTTGGGCTAAAAATTGTTTCATTAAATTTTCTCCCACTAATTGAAGCGGAAGCAACAAAATGGCTTCCTAGCAAAGCGTCGCAACATTAGCTTAATGGGAGAATCGAGAAGCAGCAATAACCAAATCAGGAATGACCGACTAGCAAATGCCCTGCAAGTCACTCGACTTTACACTCATAAGCTTAAATATAGAATTAAACTAAACTTAACTTAAATATATATTATGTGTATTAAAAAACTAGCTGATTTCCATGTCTGAAAATCAATCGGTTAGTTACGGCTAATGCTTCCGATTTCAATTTGCCACCCTTCTTAAAGCTAAACATGATTTGCCGATGTATTTTACTATCATATATCATATATTGTTGCACAATCCAGTAAGTTTGAAAAATCAATCTAATATCTTATATAGCAGAGAGGATATATGTTTATATACATTTATAGATTTGGAGTTATGCTTCACACAGTGGTCATGCTACCCGTTGGAAATATTTTCAACGGCTACAGGGTATGAAAAAACAATGCCAGGTGACGATGTTGTGTGGAGGACTTTGACAGGATGCCTGCCAACTGAAAGCCTGTTGCCTCTCTAGACAGCCAACTGTTGCCGTTGTTGCTGTTTTTGCTGTTGTTTTCTGTTCTTGTTGCTGTTGTTGTAATTGTTGTTGTTCATATTGTTGTCGCTGGCGTTGTCGTTATCAATGCTTCAATGGCTGCCACGGAGGCGCGCCTTTGTGCGCCATTTGCAACAAAAAAAGGCAAGGTGTCGTTGTCACTGTCGTCGTCATAGTTAAGCACACACACTCGAGCACACACATGCACACACACACATGCCGCATAGGCCCGGTTGTCAGCAGCCCGGTTTTTATTGAGGCGCCTCGTTGTTGTTTCCATCCGTCGTTACCCTGCCCCGTTTGTGTGTGCAACAACAATGCGTCATTTAATTTATGATAAATTCTTGTTGTTGTAAAAGTCTTTTTATATTAGCTTGCTAACTTTGCCGTCGCCGCTTGACTTGTTCTTGTAGCCTTTTATATTTATATGTATATGTATATATTTATTTTTTTTTGCCAGGCACCTTTGCTCTTTGCGCGCAAGCAATTTGCATTTGTAATTCGTCGTTGGAGCTCATGTCAACATAAGCGTAAGATTTCACAGTGCTATTCACTGACTCCCGCCAAAGCGTCTAATTTTACGTCTGTCGCGGCAGTCGACACTTTAAGCCCCCTCACAAATTGTATGGATGGGCAGAAGGCACCTTAAGATCGCAGAAGCTACGCTTACCAAATTTCTCTAAAATAAATAAATTAATACAATCTGTATAAAGCTGGTATGATTTTATGACACAGACACAGCCTAAAGGAGAGATAAATATTATTTGTTGTCTTTTTTTCAACATGATTCCACAATTGCTTTCTTACACTTCATTTTAATTCATTTATCATTCTGAAATCTTTGCTCCTTTTGCTATAATCCTCTGTTTTATTCCATCAACTCTGATTTTAGTTCCAGTTTAGTTTAGTTCAAACCGGTACCTTAATTAAGCGAAAGAAACTCAGAACCATGATTTCCTGATTGTTGGTCATGATATGATCACTAAAATAATACCACATTTAAAGTTGGTAAAGGTGATTCTGACTCGAAACTCAAGTTAATATTGTAATGTAATGTATTGAACTCTATATTAATATTACATTCAAAGTTGCAAGCAGAGAATCCTTATATTGTAGATATGGCTTCTATAAACAAATATTATACTTATAGTTTCTATCATTTATCATTTTAGACAGCTCCCCCTCTTTACTATTGTATATATTTTCTGCGTTATTTACCAAATATTCAAGTATTCTTTTTGTTGTGCTTAAGTTGCTCAGTTGACTTTTCGCTGGCATTTGCTTTAAGAGCCACTTTGGCTGGCTTGGCTCAACTTTGAAGGTAGTCCGACAGGCATTTGGTCAGTCAGTTAGCTTGAGAGTTCTTTTGAGTCGAGCATCAACATCATCAACTAAATGCTCATCTAACTCTGATGGCTGGCCATTATTTAAACAAGCGTCAAGCGACCAACTTTGGACTAGCGCCAAATTTAATACTCCAACTTGACGGCTACGTAATTTTTCGCCCAGCGCGTTTGTAGTTTCTTGTTTATAATGTACAAAAAAAAAAAAACCAAAAAAAAAAACGGAATACAAAAAAATGAAGGAAATAAACGCAAACAGTAGCAGAGAAAAAAACTTTGTCGTTTACTCTATTAAACTTTTGGGCAAGCTTACGAGGTAGCCCAAAATCAGAAGAAATAATATACACACACATAAAAAAAAGTACAAAACTTTACCACAAAGTTTTTCACAGTAGCAAATAAAATAGGATGGCAAAAAATTACCAGGCTATACAAAAAAATGAACGACATATTAAAAAAAAAAAACTTTACTCATTTGTATGCAGCGCAAATGTTGCATTATTTTTGACTCGTTACCAAAAAAAAAAAAAACCAAAAACAAAAAATAAATAAAACATTTTTTATTTACCGAAATAAATCATACTTGGCACTATTATTTTTTTAATTATCTGTTTATACTCTGAACGCATTCCAAATGGGAAAAAGGGTATACTAAAGTGAGCAACATTATAAAAACGTCTGTCTGTACAAACAAGCTGATCCCAGATCCATCGTGTATCAAGTTTATTTCATTTAATCGATAACTCACACCGCTGTGTGAATATCGATATGAATCGATAACACATATCAATAAAATATACAAAATTATAATTAATTATTAATTAATTAATTAATTATTATGATACAGATATAATATTTATCAACTGTAAGAATTGAAAAGAAAACCTATTTTATATGCAACTTTTTCAATTAAAATACAGAATAGCAACCAAATTCCAACACATTTCAAGATCCATTCAGAGGAACCGATAATATAAGTACGATAATAGAATTGAATATACAAAATTGAACCTTTTCATAAACTCCAGCGAAATCGATATAGAAATATGTTTCGATTCAATTCGATTTTATTCAGTTGAAGTGTTCAATGGCAAATCATAGCTTGAAATTAATTTATTGGTGTCGGACCCAATTTTGGAGGAACCTGTACATAATAAAACATGAACCGACATTTGAACTTATTCAGTCCATAGTTGAGAAAGTTAAAATTTCAGATGACTGACTGCCTCCAGTCTCAAAGTTGATAAGTAAAATTCCTTTGGCAAACATTTTAGATGCTAAACAAGAGTAAATATGCCAGCCAAGCGTAGACTGGTACATACGACTTGTATATATATATATGTATATATATATACACTTATATATATAGAAAACTAGGGCACGTGTTTCACCAACTGGTAAAAGGAGCAATATGCAGGCAGCAAGCAGCTAGCTTGCAGCTTGTAGCATGCAACGTATTTTGGAATGCAGTGCCCAACTCAAAGTCACTAAGTGGAACCCAAAGTTTCGCTAGTCAGGCAAGACACACACACACATACATATAGATGGATATATAGTATATAGTATATATATAGCTAGTATATTTATAGTGTATATACGCACCCAAATTTCCTGTGATAAAGGATTCATGAAGCTGAACACGCCGGGCGTTTGCTTCACTGGCTTCTTAATCATGATGGAAATGCCCAGCGACATGAACGGCTTGCTGAAGTCAATGACACGTTCCCGTTCGGCGGTAATCGTCATCGCGGCAATCGCAATATCCGCTTCCTGTACCAACCAATGTGAAAGAGACAGGCATCGTGTGAAAGGGAGAGAGAGAGAGAGAGAGTTGTTATATTTAGTGTATCAGCCTCAGTTTCCGTTTCAGACTAGAACTGAATTTAGTTTCGAGTTGGTTTGTGGGACTATAAAAGGAACTATCTTTTTATTTAAACTTTATTTATATATAAGCATTGCACAACTGAATAAAGTTAGAGCTAATAATGAGTATGTGGCTCTGTCTAATGCATTTGATTCAGACTAGATTTGATTTTAGACTGAGTTTTCTTTATTTTTAGATATATAAATAAATATAGACTAAATATTGAGCATGTAACTCTGCGAAGGAACTATATTTATAAAGTCTGATTAAGGTCATGGATATTTAATTGTATCTGAAGTACATCAGTTGTTCATGTGTGTTTTTATAATACTGATCAAATCCCGATGTAATTTAGCTGCACTAAGATTAATCGTGCAAATTATGAGTGATTGTAACTGACTATTATATCATATAGATTTAAAAAAAAAAAACAATGGGTTATAGCAAAAGACAGTTTAACTTCAGTCTGAAAGGGTATCTCAGCTTCCACATGCCAAATTTCAAACTGAATGATTCACTACAAATGCTCATTAAGAGAGTTTATTAACCGAGTCCACAATCATCTCACCTTGCGCACCAGTTCGCCCACCATGCCATCCCAGCCACCATGAATGGTTGGATTCTCGGAACCATAGTTGCCATCCTTCACCAGACGCAGCTCATCTGGAATGCAATACGTGTAAGCTGAGCGGGATTTGATGCGATTGCCACTTACATTCGAGTCCCAGCTTCTTGGATAGCAAATCGGCGAGATCCTTGCAATAGCCCTCGAAGCGGTTATTGCCATGCAACTGTTCCCCGAAGGCGGGCTGCTTTATCATAATGTACGGCTCCTCCAGCACCGTGGTGACAATGTACGTGCGATTCTTCTCAAACTCCACGTGAGGACGCAGTCGAACATATTTCGCATTCAGCGGCTGCAATCCGGCATCATCATTCCACTCAGCAACTTTCACCTGCATCGAATTTATGTCAGTCAAATGGAAAGATAATGATTAATGAATGATGAAAAATGAGAGAACTGATTTTTAATGGATGTTCATATAAAAGTTCCATAAAGTTCGGAAACAAAAAAAAACATTTTCGTTTTGAGATATTATTTAAGTAAAGAGATGATTTTGCTTGAATAACTCTTTTATATACAATATATATTGATCAAACTCAGTAATTAAAAACGTTATGTTGTTTGAGAAAAAAGGAAATACTTTCTTTTTAAGATATCTTTTCAAATTGCCATTTTGTCTATGGTGTTTCCATTAAACTCACTAATTAAATACCACACATAGTTTGGCTAATATTTATCCACTTTCCACTAATCGGATTTATATACAAACTGCAACATTTGAAACTCTATGCTTCCTTCACATTGATATACTATATCATATATGTATTGTATTTGACTTTATCAGTAGCTAGTTAGTTTAGTAAGCGTATTTAATTAGCAACACTCTGAAGTTAATTCCTTATTTTCTTTCGCACACTTTTTAATTACTTTCATTGCACACATTTTTCTCCAAGCAAACGAGCTGAGCAGCATTGTTTGGCAGTTGGTCCCCTAACTCCTTGCCACACATACACACACACACACACACACTTAGTTATGTGGTCTATACGGTTACATACCATTGCACTGTTTACGGTCATCTCGACAACGTGCAGCGTGTAATTGACTCGTCTGCCATCATCGTTGAACTTGATATCTCCGGTGAGTCCCTCGATTTCCACCTGACAAAAAACAAACAAAAAAAAGGGTGTTTTTAATTGCTGTGTCAGCACCTGGTAGCTGCAAACTTGTTGTTATTGCTCCCATCATCATCATCACCATCAGCAGTCTGATCATGACAGTAATGCTTGCTAAAACGCACCTTTCTCAAATAACGTGATATTTTATCGCCATGCTCCCAGGCATTCACCCAGCCTTTGGCCGTATTACAGTCCAGGGCACGCGGCGGCACCGAACCATAATTGGAACTGGAACCGGAGTTGCCATCATTGTTGTTGTTATTGTTGTTGTTGTTGTTGCTGTTGCTGGTGCTGGAGCCATCGCTGGATGTGGATGCGGCTGCTTGGGCGGCAACCATCAGCGTTTGACTGCGTCGCTGTACATTGTTCCGGAATTGATCCGGCTTCTTGCGCAGAATTTTGTTGAACGCCTCAACGAGCACAAAGACCGCATCGTACATCAGCGCCGCCTGAGCCTGCATAAAAGGACATGCGTTTCAAATTGTTGTTTTTGTGGTTGCTGTTCCTATCGCATTTCATTAATGAGCACATTACTCGCTGTTTTTCACTTACTTACTTTAAAGCGTGTTAATTGTGGGCTTGAGTGTCTAACAAACAATGTGTTGTTTGAATTTTTGGCGCGCAAGCGATAAATTAATCGAAAGAGTTGCGATCGATTGGTGCTGTAAGGCGCTGATTTGGACTGTTAAATAACAGCAGTCTGTTACGATTTTAAATTATTAATTGGATTGGGCGGAAATAAGAACTTAACTTTAATCAAATATATGCTTATATACTTTCAGTTTGAATCGATTAATTTTATTACTATTTTGATAATATTCGAATAAAATAGTAGCGCAAAATTGCTTGAAGGATTACTTTTGATCAACAGCGGAAACTGCTGTTAGACATGCTGTAGAGTTATCTGCGCTATGTACAAATTATTCTGTTGAAAATGTAAGTAATTGCAACAAATTTTAAAGGCCTTCAAAAGGGCCTAGTCTCCACAAACGTATGCATGAGTGTGTGAGTGTGTTTTTCTATGCATGAGTGTATTTTTATGTAGAACAGACTCGTACAAGTCAAATAAACAAATAAGCATTGTCAAAGAGAGCAACAACAGCAACAGAAATAATGTGTACAGAGATAGAGAGAGAGAGAGAGAGAAGGAAAAGAAGCAGTGCAGGGTTTGAAGTCCTCAAGCAAAATACAACAAACATTTAAGCGCCACAAAGTGAAATCTTTGTCAACAGAGGGATAATTCCAAGGAAATACAAATATAAACAGCACGCAAACTAAACCTCGCTCGCCAACTTTCGAGTAGTTGTTGTTGTTGCCCCGTCTCCCTCTCTGTCTATCTGTGTGTGCTAAGCATGACAAGGACAACGGTAGCAAGGGCACACACACTCACACACACATACACGCATGCATGCATGCATGTATACAAGTGTGTGTGCCTTTGACTGAAAGTTGCCGCTGAACTGAAGAAGAACTATGTAAAAAGTGAAATCTGTCGCCATTGTGCCTGTTTGTGTTGCTATTTGACTACAGGGACTGAGCGGTCGATGGAGGGAGAGAGCGAGGGAGACGGAGAGTAAGAGCGAGTCCTAACGGTAAACATTGAATGCCAGCAAATATTTAACAGCTAGCAGCAATGACATTGCTGCTGCTTTCAGTACAGTGCACGCTCGAATTAATAAAGTTTATTGTGCTCTATAGGAAATCAAGATGAAATGAAAAGTAATGGAAAATGCTTAAAATTTAATTGATTTATTACTTATTTTGTTTCTTAATATAAACTATATATGTATATATATATTAAAATGACGTATACACAGTAGTAAACATATAAAATTAAAAGATTACTTTATATATATTTCTTTCTCACGTTTTTATCAACTCATTTTCTATTTCATGCCCATTATTCGTCTATGCGAGCGACAACTGTAGTGCACTTGCAGTTACAGTTACATATACAGTTGGAGTTTGAGCCTTACCGAAATCGATTCTCTGCCAGCGCCGACGCTCGTCTGTGGGTCGAGTCGCTTCCAGCTGTCATAGAATTCGCGCACGAGTCGCCGATTTGTGTCAACAATGCGAAATCCGGTTATGTTAATGGCACCAAATTCGATTATCTCGCTCTCCCACCGATCGTCCATGACCTGTATAACAGTGACAGTTAACATCCTGTAACAGTTGACAGTTGAGTAAGAGGAAACAGCTGGTCAACACTTACCAATCCACTGAGTAGATAGTGATAGGTGCGACGACCCAAACGCAAATCGCGCACATGTTGAATGAGTATTTGTTTGGCCATCTCCGTGGGACAGTCGAGAACGATGTGCTTGTTTGTGAAGCGACCGATTTGCTCCAGCGTGTGCAGAAACTCAATGGCCATGCTGACATTCGAGATGCGCTTGACCAGCTCCACTTGAAAGGACTCGTTGCCCGGTTTGAGGCCCTGATATATTTGTTGCAGCCGCAGCAGCCCTACAAAATAGCAGCAGCAAAACAATGGCCGAAAATCATTAGGAGAAATGCGAAAACCCAACGAACGAAATAATGTGTAGAATGTCTGTGTGTGTGTGCGTGTGTTAATTACAGCACACACAAGCACTTAGCAGAACAGTTAACTGGAACACACACATACACAAATCTCGGCCATCATCAAGGTAAAATTCACAGAACGCATTTGAAGAGCTAAAAGATTAGCTTGAATTTTGAGTCTTTAGAAATTCGAAATGAATGCAAATTAGGCAGAAACCAGATTAAATCTAAAGCCGAAAAGTGTATTACAAATCACCATAGAAACTGCTGCTCCGAGATAGCATTTAATGCTGATTATAGTCTATACCTTTGTTATTAGTTTCTAAAAACAGCAATAGATTTATATTTAAGCTTCAATATGATAAAAATAATTATAATTATATTTGATAAGTAATAAGTAAATTACAGTAAAATCGTTTCAGTTTAATGATTGGATCGTAATCAGCTCAAGTCGCTTCTAAGTCTATATAGCAAATTGTAATCTGTGTTGGAATATTGCACACTGATTGAGAGGGACTATTTGTAGTATTCATTGTTAATCAATTGATGGTTCAGTCTGAGCCGGTTTAGCGATGTGGAAGATATGCATAAGTCCCAAGATAGAAATTATTAGTGTTGGCTTTTAACACGCAGAAGCAACGAATACATAAAATGTTCAAAATGTGACTCCATAGAAAAGTCCTCTGACTGTTCAACAAGTTATGGCACGGCTTGGGAATAGCTAATGCAATGCGACAGTCGAGACACACACTGCAAGAAAAAGCAGCTACCCAAAGACAAAAGCAAACTGTTGCAATATATGCAACGCATGTGGCAGATACGTACAGGCAAGCAGGATGACGCAGACAGATGAGCAGCTCGACTAAATTGTCAAATTGCATGCCTAAGCGAAAAATACGGCACACATACACAGAGAGAGAGGTGCACACACATACACACGCACACACAGACACATGTCTGCTTTTGATCCGAGTGAAATTAGCCTTGTGAGAGATTTGAGTGCGAGCGCAATTTGCATTTGTGCTTATTGAGTTATCTGTCGCTCTCTTCGTGCAACTAACTGCATGTTGCATGCAACTTTCATTCACACTTAAACAGATACATCTCCCACACACACACATTCGGATAGAGGGGAGCCAGACAGCCAGTCGGATAGATGGCCAGATGATTTGTATGACAGCTACGCAACGTACACAAAAATCCACTTCAGCTCCCTCTGCTGTTGCTCCTACTGCTGTTCCCACTCCTGCTCCTGCTCCTATCCCCGCTCCTGCTCGTCGTCTGTTTTGTGAATGCGCCTTCAATTTATGTTTGCGGATAAAATGGGATTTGCTTGGGGCTCTCTCGCAGTGGCAGCCAACTCAGCTATGACTATTCTATCAGGCGTTACGGCCAAAAACACGCCCAGTGCCACCCCTGCTCTGCTCACGGCTAAAAGCGTTCCCCACACATATATCCAATTTGTTGTTGTTTTGATTTACACTATCCGTGGCTAAGGCATGTATACCCTGTAAAGTTTAAAGGTGCATAAAGGATGCCAGTCCATTAGTTAAAGAATACCAGTCCATTAGTATCATAACGTATCCGTATATTGAAACAATATATATATATGCTAGCTGGTGGCCTTATGCACATATTTCAACAGTACTTTTCGTGATTTACATAGCAAAGCAGTTATCATATGAATGCAGTAGTTATTTTCGGAACTCGTTACAGAGTATTTGCTAGTCCATCACTATTCACAAATGCCTTAAAGTTCAGTTAAACGATAAATGTTATTTTCATTTGCTAGTTTTCAAATACTTTTGCTTTGAAGTTCTGCAGGGTAGCTGCTAGCTGACCACTGTATTTAAATGCCTGGGAAAAGTGAGAACTTAATATTGCTTCAATAATTCACTTTTACAGGATATCGTTGAGTACATACTTTTGCCAATTTTTTTGTAGCATTTTTTTGGTGCGCTTTGCTGGAGTGTAATAAATTTTGTGCTTTGTCTTTTATACAATTTCATTTGCTGTTGCTTTACCTCCCAACCCGACACACCCCCCAATGCAGCGCTCTACCCACTACTATCTATGCCCACTCCAAAATCAATCGCTGTGTAATTCCGACCCACCTCCCCCTCCCCACTGGCGCCTTGCCCCAAATAGTCCTCATGCTTGGCTTGTCTTTGGATTTGAGTTTTGGGTTTTGTGTTTTTCGATTTGAGATTTGTCGTTTCGGATTTCAAATGTGTGTGTGTGTGTGTGTGTGTGTGGGTGGGTGTGTAATTGAGTAGCGTACACTGTGATGCGAGGTTCGGCTTTTGTTTTATTTCATTTTTGATATAAAAACATTTGCAACGCATTCCCCAGGCCACATTCCTCAACCCACCCCAACCCAACCCAAGCCCGCCGTCGCACTCAACAAGCGCCCATAATACGTATGTCCCCCGAATTGATGGCCCCGAAATTGGCTTTTGTCTTGATTCCGATTCGTTTTTTGTATACCCTTGCTGAGGGTATACTAATTTTGTCGTGAAGCAGACGTGATTGATTGCATTAGGTGTATATACTCCTGATTAGCGGCAGTCGACGAGTTGATATAGTTTTGGCTGAGTGTCTGTCTCAGTTTTTAAGCCAACTTGATGATATATGATAGATATATCTGTATTTTTGCTGCACGCAGTACATACGATGCAGCCGGATCGTATCGGATCTCTATATCATATAGCTGCCAAGGAAAGAATCGCTGGAAATATGAGTTCTTTTGGGAACAGCATTTTTGTTTATTAAGTGATCCTGATCAAGGCTTCTAAATATGCATTTTAGCAATCAATGGTCAAAATTGGATTTATCTATCGTATAGCTTATACACCACATAACTGATATATCATATAATATTCATAGATACAATCAGTCGCTTTTTTGTATTTATAGTGAAAGTTAGATGCAAGGATATTTCAGCTTCGGTGTGCCTCAGTTAGCAGCTTCATCTTGTTTTGCTTTATTTTATCACTCTATCCATCTCTCCCTCTCTTTCCCACACTCCCTCCCTCCCCCTCTACCTCTGTCTCTTTCTCATTTCATATTATTTTTTTGCCTTGTCGTCTGTCTGTTTGTCTGTCCCTCAGTCCTTATGCGTATGTGGCGTATTTCCGTTTTGTGTTCATTGTTTTATTTCCGTTTTTGTTCGTTTTTTCCTTTTTCTTTCTTTTTTTTTGTTTATATAACGAATTTAATTTACAATTATATACATTTTTTTTGATGGCCTATCGTAGAAAATTCAATTATTTTCATGCACAATTCGTCATAGGAAATTCATTGAAATTGAATCTTTTCAGGGAACGAGATAAGCTTGGGCCACAGTTATCCATGTACATCTGTATCTATATCCTTCTATATCTCTACAGCATTAATATATATCTTAATTTGTATCTATATCTGATTCTGTATTTGTATTTATCTATAACTGCATCTGTATATGAATCTGCATCTATATGTGATACTGTATATGTCTTTCTAACAATATCTACTATCTGTATCCATATGTTTATTCGTATCTTTCCATGCAAATTAAAAATAAAAAACAGCTGTCATATCCTTTCTGCCTGCTTACTGCTTATTTGCTTGATGTTCAGGCTGAGAAACTTACTCGATTTGCACTCGCATGCGAAAAGTAAACAAGACAATTTGTTATGTTAAACAAAAGTTAGTTTTGCGGAAATGAAGTTTTCCTACCATCGGCAGTGACACTCACACAAACACTCTGAGCCATGAAATATATACATATAGAGACACACACACAAATCCAGATACAGCTACAGATATGCACTATAAAGCACAAGAGGCGAACAAGTAAAACATTTGTGTACATATTTTATGCCTAACAACAAATGTGAAAGATAATGGAATTAATACAAAACAAGCTGAGCCTGCTCAACGCCTCGCCAGCCTTGAGAGCATATGCAGAGTACATAGCACTGAATAGATTAGATCTGTGCATATAATTCATTTAATATTTTCATAAAAACATAGATATACGAATTACAACATTTAAACTATGCTTAAAGCGAACCATAAATTCTTTTACTCTGAAATCCCAGACCTTAAAGTATGAATATTAAATCCGCCGGAATCGCTGTAGCTCTAAAAATAAATACTTATTAATTTTATGATGGCCCTTGGCCATCATAATTTGCACTAATTTTGTTAAGCGTGTTAAAATAAGTGCTCTAAAAATAGACCACGTACAATATGAACAGCTAAGCTATTTGTAACTTTCACAAGTTGTTGACTGAAGAAGTTAACAGATGAAAACAGGGATGAACGAAGATGAGATACCCTTGCAGCGAGGCGACTGATTCATCCCTTGGAAGCTATATGATATAGTAGTCTGATGTTGATAGATTTTTTATTAATAAGAACTTCTCGTTTGGAAAAAGATAGATAAATGGAGATGGCTATGTCGACTATTGATGCTGGTCAGGCAAATATATACATATACTTTATGTTGTCATAGACGTCTCTTTATATCAAACAACAATCTAAATGATAGAAATTTAATTCATAAAAATTGAAGCTCGCACAGCATATTTCTATTTATATCCTTAAATAATTTTAACGAGGACAATCCACATAACTTAGCTACCAAGTTTTTTTCAGCTAACCTCACTGGCAAACTCGAGTTGAGGTAACCTAGCAATGTAAAACCAAGTCTCGTTGCAACATTTATTTATACACATTTTGACGAGCAACTATTATCCTTGAAGGAAATCTTAGATATTTAACACTCACCCAGCACACCGAGTAATTTAACAGCTTGCTTGTTAGGCCCCTCCACTTGTTGTGTTATCAGAAACTTTGTTTGTTTAATTACTTAGACACAGAGAGGGGAGAGGGGAGGCAATGGGCGTGCCTAAGAAATCTACGCCTCGCGCATATGTTTTCAATGACTTTGCCAGCAGGCGGACTCAAAAGTATCAAGTAACATGAAAGTGAAATCGCTGTAAAAGCCCATTATGGTTAAATTAATGGCAAACAGACGATGGTTTGGCATGGCATGGCTTGGCTTGGCTTGGCTAACACAGGCAGTCGTCGTCAACAGCCAGCCTGCCCGGCTGATGTCCTGTTGGAATCCAGTTTTGTCTATTCCAGATTTTATTATTATTACTTAGCCATTTCTAGTCATATAAGACGAATGCAGAACGCATCCTTGCTTATTGTTATTCATGATGCCACCTACAATCAGATTTGGGCCAGATTTTTATTTGAAGTAAAATTGTGTAAACATTGTGACCTGCTCGACTAGCTGGAGATGTATCCATGCAGTATTCGGTGTCATTATTCAAATGATTCTTTAAGAAAATGATGATTTTCGGGCTCTGAATTTCAATCTTCACAGTTGTAGTTGAGGTTCCGGTTCCGTTTTTTTTGTCAGTAGTTCTCTCAAGCTTGATTAAATACAATACACATATAAATATAAAATGCGTGCTATAGTTAGGCATACCCCTTTTCGGCATTTAATAGTCAATGGGTATGCAAATAAAATTGTATACATTTGATTTTGCTGCCTGTTCTAATATTCAAAGACAATCAAAGGCAATCAATGACAATCAATCTATAAATAATACCATTTGCATAAATCTGCACTTTCGTCCCTCTCACGGTCCTCCCCCGCCCCGCACTCCTGGCCACATTGATAAGCTAGCGAGTTTAAGGATTTAGTACCTGTTGGGTCGGATGTTTAATAAAATATTTATCAAGTCTTTGGGCAAAGTCATTTTGATCGCTTCGGCACAGGACGGAAAGCAAACAAAAACTCATTATTCGACTGCCAGCATGAACTGGATGTTTTTGGATATGCTTCCTAACCAGGCGACAAATGCAAAAGGACCCCCAAAACAGTGCTTACACCTTGCCACAGCTATGCGCCTTGCCCCGCCTTCTACTCCGGCCCAATAAATTCTCGTGTGGAAGCAAAAACAAACTGTTCAAACTGCCTTCGTCCTGACAGGATTCATTCTTCTTGCTGCTCTCCTGCTGTTCGTATTGTATATGCATACATATATTACGAGTGTGTGCGTGTGTGAGTGTGTTTGTGGCAGCGTGCTAAAAAATAAGTGAGCCATTCACTTTCATTGCAGCAAACCTCTTGATTGCATGCTCTTAATATCAAATCACCATTCCAAAATAACTAACACAAACATTTCTCTCTAATTTGAGCTATTTGCGGATCGCCGCTTTGTGCGATTTCTGGAATTCAAATATCAAATGCTGTAATACGATAATCAATATATATATTTCTTTGTGCAAAAAATAAAATAAAATACATCAAATATAAATGCAATAAAATATTTGTGAGCATTTCTTTGTAGTGGCAAATATGTTGAAAAAAAATACAATATTTACTATCGAAAATCGATATTAATCGATATTGGAGAAATGTGAAGATTATCAATAAAGTGAAATGCGCTTAATCTGATCTGGCATTCCAAATTACAACTATCTGGATATTATAGTCTCTCCGATAGGCTTCTTCGTACTGGCAAATAGATGGATGTGGCTACGTGTACAATATATATATTTTATGAAGTCGTAGATGCCTCGTTCTGCCTTAACATGCCACATACACAACTCAATTCATATTCAACCGTTTTACCCATTTTCCAATTCAATGTTATGGGTTTAAAAATTGGAGAAATATACAAGAAACCAAAAGCAAAAACAGGAGAGCACTTGAGCTATGAAAATACACTCGAAATAGAAAGAATAGATGGCAAATGTGGAGATGTGTTTAAAAATAAATATTCTCTCTCTCTCTCTCTGTCTCTGTCTCTGTGGCTGTGGAGGGTTCATGTTCTTGCAATACAAAAGCCATAATCTTATAGCCAAAATTAAAATGGGTGTACGCCAATTTTGTGCAAGTCGAAGTCCAAGTCGTAAATACAAGCGACAATAAACCCATAAGCTGGCGGGCATATCCGCATGAATTAGGGCGCGATGTGCCACCCGAAAAAGAAAAAAATAACGAAATAGGGAAAATAAAGAAAATATAGAAAATATTGAGGGCGAAGCTGCTATATAGAGTGGCTATTAGTCGCTATTGTTGTTGTTGTTGTTGTTGTTGCTGCTGTGGTGATTGCTTTAGCGCTGCCAATGCCCATAAATAGTTTTTATTTTTTTTTTTCTGTTTATTTTTTGGTGGGGTCAATAGGCGAAAAATGTTTCTCCAATTTCTATGTAATAAACTCGTTTGCGTGGCGCAAATAAACACAATAGTATCAGAATAATAAGAGGAAGAATAAGATGAAGAGGAAGCAGACATTTTTGTATAAACAGTTGGCAGCGACGACTTTGCCACACACACACAGAGAAAGAGAAAGAGGGAGAGAGAAAGAGCCACATGCGAGAAAGCCAGCCAGCTAGCCAAAAAAACAAAAGCCGTTAACGTTGCCCGCTGCCGTTATGTGTACGTGCCAAGCCAACTCGATAAGGATATTCCAATGCCCTTAGCAACCAACAACTTCCCCTCAAGCTCCCCCTCAACCCCCTCATCCTCCTCAACACCATCAACACACGCCGGCTGTGTAAACATGGCCATAAACTCAACAGCTACAATTATGGGAGAAAAATGAAAGGCGTTCGCTTTTTGGGGCAAAATATCTAAATCTCTATTTTGACTTATTCTTTTTTTTTTCAAATATAACAGATGACAAGTTCATTGAGATGCCTTTGCTTCTCAGTTAGACCTTTGGCGTCTTTATTAATTTTAACGTTTCATTCCAGCACTGCTATGGTAATCGATTAGCTATATATTTCTTATATTGGCCATCTGTAAAAATATGTATCTTTTTATTTTGCAATTAAAATCATTGAGTGCTTCTATTATGATTTGCATATTTTGAAGTCTATTTTCAAGTCGACTTTTCACAATGTAAAAAATGGGAATATTCTCATAAATATTTATTTTATTTGCTGCTCAACTTTTCTATGATGTCATCAAGTGTTTCAATACACAAATATTTGCTCTGCACATAATTGAAATCTCAAGTTTTGGCCACGAATGAATATTTATTTCGCACACCTGTTTGAAAAATATTGTTTGTCTGATGGAATTGATTGAGTGCCATGTTTCCATGGAGCCTACTCAAACAACTTAAAATACACACCACACCACAGCGCCTTAAAGCACAAACAAACAAACAAACAAACCAACATAAACAAACAAACATACACACACATATATATTCACACACACAATATTTACACACCCATACCATGAAACACTCAGCCATAAACACTCGCTGTCTGTAAATTGATTGAGTGCTGTTTCCTCGCGATGAGCAGAGAAGAGAAAAAAGATTTTCACGTGGCATTCATTAATAATCATAATGCAGACGTCGGCCAGTTGTCCAGTGGAAGCATCGTCTGGCCCGTCACTGTCCTTGCCATCGTTACTCTCTGTCTGTCTGTGCGTCTATCTGTCCGCCTTGGCTTCCAGCACGTCATATAAGCCAATTGTCTGTCAGCGCAGACAGCGATGTCATTAAGTTTTATTTATAAGGCAACTAAATGGAAAATCCTCGCGGAAACTTATAACAAAGCAAATTGGCATAGCCACTGGCAATGAGAGGGCATACCTACACTGAGAGAAACAAAAGCCCAAGTAAATTATAATTTATTTTATCCTTTAGCTCTAATTCGTGGACGACAGTAAGAATCCTTGTTGGATTGATGTGGATTTCCCTATACTCCGAGATGATAACATATTAACGACATCTTCTCCTGGCTAAGGCATCATATACTTCGAGGATTTCGCCTTCTTGAGGCAGCTTCCGCTGCAGACTATGCCAGACTATGTTCTCTCTTGCAAAGTGCATAAAAAGAACTTTATTTTAAGTATATAATCACACAATTTTCCAGCAATATGAATGGTTGACAACAGTCTGAACTCTCTGAAATTTTCTGAGAATCTGCAGCTGTAATCTCTCTCAATTAGTTTGTATATCGACCTTCGCGGAGACTTCTCTGAACTGTAGTGATAATGAGAATTTTCTACTCGACTAAACTCTTAAATTACATTATCTTATCTATTCTTCGCCATATTGCTTACTTAAATTGTATTTGATTAAAGCTGCCTGACTGGCAATTCTGCTCAGCTCAGCTCAGCTCGATTGTCGCAGATGTCTCTCTTCGTCACTCAGTTGCAGCCACATTTTATGTTTTCCCATGCCAAGGGCTTTGATCCTATTGGCGACCCACTGGCCCACTTCCTGCTTGCTTTTCTGCCGTTTCATTCCCTGACCCGGAAGGTCCTACGTAAATAAGACTAAAATTCAATCACGAAGGCTACCGCTTTTAAGAATTTGTTGTTATATCTGGTTTTCATTACAATGTCATAAGTTGTGGTTCATATATATAGATATATATATATATATAATTTACATTTTCGCTGAGTGTAGAGAAACTCATTTCTCATATAACGAAATGAAGTTTGGAAAGATTATTGACTCTCCTGGGCAAACGTTCAATTTCGTACTAAATTAAGAATGCATGTGTGGGGTTTACAGGGGGAATGGAGTTAGTGTTTGGTACTCACCATCGTGGGAATCGTAGAGATAAATTATTTTGCGCCAGCCATAAAATTGTATTGTATCAATGATGGCCTGATGATAATCCGGTCGCATGCTGAGGGCAAAGTCCAGGAAACCAGACGATGGCGTAAGCACCTAAAAAACGCGCAAATTATGGAAAACAGCGGTCATATACATGTATAAGTATATATATATATATATATACATATCGTTGGGAAAGGGACAATGAGAGCGAGTCGCTGCTAGTTGGCAAGTTAGTAAGCATGAATCATTATTGAGCTTGTTGTCCTTATTGTCGTTGTTGTTGTTGTTGTGTGCTGTTCTGGAGCCCCTTTGTTTTTGGCTCGTTTTGGGCATTTGCCTGCTTGATTTATAGAGCAGCAGCCCAACGAGGGCAAAAGTGTGTTATAAATTTTTAAAGACCAGCGCCAAAGAACATCATTATTGCAGCAAGCGAGTGAGTGAGAAAGAGAGAGAGAGAGAGAAAGAGGGAGAAAGAGAGAGTGAGCTTTGTATTTATAATGATTTGGAACCGTCGCTGCTCATAAATTGTGCTTGGGTACTTTTCAAAAGTTTCGCATGCCATTTTCAAGGTTATCAAATTTTATTTGGGTGAGTCAACGTTGCGTGTGATTAATATTTCATATTAAAATTGGCAACTGCTCGCCACGCAACACACTCTCTCTCTCCTTCTTTCTCTCTCTCTCTCTGTCTCTCAATTTCTTGCTCTCTCAGGGACTTTATTTAGTTAGCTTTAAGGGCGACGCAGCCATTTACCTTCTCTGGAAACCAGGGCGTCACAAAGGGCATCTGAAACGTATTCGAGTAGGAGTGCAGTGTATCAAAGGAGTCGGGAGACACCGCGCCCAGCATCGAGTAAACGCCCCTCGAGAACTGATTGCAGACTGTGTAAAAGAGAAGATTTCATTTGGTTAGAGGAAAAACTAGTTTTGCATAGATTTCATTTTAATTATGTAATAAAATATCAAAGAAAATGTGTATTTTTTCAGAGTGAAATGTGGAACTGAAAACAAACTATTGAATTATAATGTGCAAGGTAAGGTTTTATTAAGTTATCACTATTATTATTATGGTTTCTCAGTTGACTTACTTAGACGTGACAATTTGAATGCATCTGCCGTATTGATGACATCCACATAGGCCTGCAGCTCAAAGCGACGCGAACTCACATTCAGATTGTGATTGAGCATGGCATATTTGAAGGCTGATTGAACCTCATCGGTGCCCTGCTCAAAGATGGCACCTATACAAAATGAATGAAAACAGTTAATTCTTGTTGTACTATATTCTGTAGTTGTATGCTGTTAACTGGCAACTGGCAACAGTTGAGAGCTGAAAGCCGAAGGCTGCTGCTGGCAGCCAGCGAGATTGTCAATTAGGTTCAAAGCAAAGGCACTTTAAACTTTGTAATTGCTTTTCGCTTCAATTTTATTTGAGTTTTTCACTGGGTGAAGAAAACTTGGTTTGCTTGCTTGTTGTTTCTGTTGTTGCTGTTGTGGCCAATTTGGAGCAAAATTTGTGCAAGTTAATAAGCGTGCCGTTTCAGTTTGCAAACTGGCCCAACCTCGCAACAACAACAAAAAAAGAAAAAATCAAAAATCTAAAACTAGCCCAAACAGGCTGTCCAGCATTTTCAGTAGTTTTTGCAGCTCTTTCAGTATTTTTGCTGCCCTTTTCTCTTGTAGCTCCATTTCAACTTGCCACAAATTGCAGCAGCAAGCAGCAACTGACTGCAACAGGCAGCAGCAGCAACGTTTGCCAGGGCCTATCAATTACAAATTGGTCTCAAGTTATCCACTTACCTAACGGTATTTTCTCGGTTAACGATGGCTGCGCATTAACGGTAGTCCATGTTAGCCATGTCAAGGCACAATATGGCCAAAGGCAACTCAGCTTTTGGCCAATGCGCATTTTGCGTAGATTCCTTGCTCCTTATGCTTGTTTTATTTTTGTAAAACTAAATTTTGCTATTGCTATTGTTATTGTTGTTGCCGATTTGGATTGGGTTCACTTATTTCTTGTTCTTGCCTGCCCTTATTGGCATTTTGAGCATTTTTTATTGCACTTAATTGGTCAATTGCATTATGGCCTTTACCCAGTTGTTGTTGCTGTTGTTGGCAGTTTGTAGTTGATCGCTTTGGCCTCAATAATTTCTCAGTTAATATAAATGTTGACATTTATGACTCCTTTTTTTTTGCTTTGCTTAATATAATTATACAATAATTGATTAATTTTTGATTTGATTAGAGAACATTGAGCAAATAAAAATCAAGTAAAAGCGGCTAATTTTCGCAAGCCGAAACAGACATTCGGCTACAAACTCCATGAATGCAACAGAACCGACTGATTTGTGTCTATTATCGTTATGTACTCATCAAGAATATATATACTTTATGAGGCTAGAGACTAAATAAAATCATGAAGATCATTTGTGAAGCTTGATGTATATATAAGTTGTGAAGACATTTTGAAGATAATTGTCATATCTATTATTGAACATTAAGTTAGATGAGCTAAACTTACGACGAATTCGACTTTCATTTATTTAAATTATTAAAAGTTAAATTCAAAATTGTTCATTTGCAGCGACATTTTGTCGATTCATTTAATCAACTTTATAAATATTGCCATATATAATTTGAGCATTTAGTTGGATGAGCTCATTTATCATGAATTCGATTTAAAGTGATTTAAATTATTGAAAGACGAATAATAATAATAATAAAATAGTATTCAATTTGCAGCGACATGGTGTCGATTAATTTAATCAATTTGATCACCATTGTTATTTATATATTATTGCATTTAGACGATCTAAGTATGAATTCAGATTTAATTAAATTATTTCAATTGGCTTTTGACCTCGATTTATTTAACCAGCTCAATAACTGTGGTTACTTATGCTTTTGTAGCCATATTTTATCTATGCATTCAGTCTTAATTTATTTAAACTCAGCTTGACTTTAAATATTCAATTTGCTGGCTGCTTGATATCGATTGCTTTTAGGTCATTATGTGATTGACCGGCTTTTAGCATACATTTTGAGCTGCTTAATTTGAATGTTTTCGGCCCGACAAACAAATACCCACACACATAACACCCACACACTCACACACAACACCCACACACACACACACACACTGACAGCCAGTTAAACTTACACTCTGTCGCACATTCGGTTCGCATTCACGCGTTGGAATCGCACGTGTCTTCGACACCCTGTCTTTCTCTCACACTCTCCCTCTCACTCTCTCCCTCTCTCACTCTCTCTCTCTCTCTCTCTCCATCTCTCCCACTCTCTCTCTCTCTCCCTCTTGCTCTGTTTGGCAACAGTTGCCATTCACTTTCCTGTGATGTTCACATTTATGAGCCTGCTTCATCCACTGTCCAAGTCTGTCCGCGATTGTATGCATATGCCTGCGTGTGTGTGTGTGAGTGTGTGCGTGTGTGTGTGTGTGCGCGCTCACTGAACTGTATGTAAATATGTGCATAGAGTCGGCTATCTGGCAAGTCTGGCTGGCGTCAATCCCCTGTGCTTCAGTTCTGCCTATCTGGCAAGCCGACGTCAATCTCTGCGCCTCAGCTCTGTCAACATTCAGGTGTGTGTGGCTGTGTGTGTGTGGCTGTGTGTGTGCTTCTCACTGCTCTACTCTCCACGCGTTTTGTTGTTGTGTGCTGTGCTGATTGCTAGTGTGGCACTCAGTGTGCGTGCAACTTGTGCCCTTATTGTTGCCGCATCTCCTTCCCTTCCTTCCTCACCGCTCTATTTATTTTTTTCGGTCCTGTTGCTGTTGTCGTTATCCTTTCGGTTCGCTGAATGTTTTGTACTGATTTTGCGCTTATACATTTTAAGTGTCCTTTGTTTTTGTTTTTTAATTATTTAAAGCATAGTTTGCGCTGACCAGCTGCTTAAATCGGCTTTTAATATACATTTGATTTTTGTCTTTTTGGGGTCACTTTCTTGCCTAGTTTTTGGTACACAACTTTTTCCAATCAGTGTGTGTGATTTTTTTTTTGTTTGGCTTATGATTTTCTTTTTTGTGCTGTTGCTTTAAATTGTTGGTTAAATTGTATTTTAAGCCGCTTATTTTGGCCACAGGGCAAAAAGGGTTGTTGGAAGGCCTTTTGTGCTATATTAAATCTGCAATAGCATATTTGGTGCTTGAAGGAAAATCTTCTTATTTCATATAAAAGATGTATGAACTAACTTAAAGCGATGGCAGACATACGACCTTAAAGCTGTTTACTTTATTCTATGTAATATTATTTTGTGGCACATAAATCCATAATCTTTTAATTATTATTATTATTATCAACTCAAATTCTTTCACTGATGCTGGAATTCGAGCTGTTAATATGTTTCCCAAGGATACTAGATTTTCTCCAAGCTAAGGCGATGTATTGATATGAGGTGCTTTGAGGATTCTTACTCAATGAATTTAGGCCTACAGTGTCTGTCAAAAGACCGCTTAGAATACTCAGTCTTCCGAAGTAAACACACAGAAATATTGCCAAATTGTTTTCGTTATTTAATCACATAACTTTCCAGCAATAAGTAAAGTTTGCAAAAGTCGCATCTCTCTAATACTTTCAGAGTATCTGTATAATATCTTAACATGTTCGTATATCGAGTTTCACAGGAATTTCTTTGAAATTGTATTTGATCTGCATCTAATGATAATAAGTATCTACTATTCGACGAAACTTTTATCCCATATCATCTCATCTATTCATTTCTAAAATCGCCTTTGATTAAAGCTGTCTGAGAGAAATTTGAACTGTCTGTGACCTGGTTGTTTTACGCAGTTCAATTGCCGCAAATGTCTCTCCTATTCTCATGCCGCACTGTGTATTTTCCACTGCCACATCTACCCAATCTCAACACAACTTTATTAACACTCTAAAGAATTTTAGCATATTCAAGAGAATAATATTCAATTTAGTGTTGAGCAGAAAATATTCGTCAAAGACAAGAGTTAATCATGGCATAAGATGTGCTATGAATATTAGACGCTCATTTAATCATTAGTCAAATATTAAGCTGGAGCGCTGCTTAACTCTTTGAGTGCGCCAACGGCGATGAGAGTCCTTAAATTGGCCAACTCATCAGCTCGAGCGAGCAAGGAGCAAGGAGCACGGAGCAATGAGCAAGGAGCTGGCAGAGAGGTGCGGGGATGCCGATGTGCGAGAAGTGTGGACCTTGGTTAGCGGCATTTGGAAAATAGATTAACATAGGACGCTTAATATTCATAAGTTTAGCCGCAGTCGCAGCCATTTGGAGCACTCGGAACTTTATTCATTATAATGACTGCAAAACTAATGGCGACGTGGAGTGTCCGCACTGAGTTCTGATGCTAAGCCCACTTAATTAAATTTAAATTACAGGCCTAAAGTTGCAAGTCACTGTGGGTTTCGGATGCCTATTTATAAGCCAAGCAAAAACAAAAAAAAAAGAGAAGAAGACAGCAACAACAACAACAAACAGTTAGATAAATGAAACGAATGAATGAACATTTAGAGTAGAAGAATGCCAAGGATGCTAGACAGGACTAAGGCTGGCACATAAAAGGGAAGGAGAGGGGCAGAGGCAGTTGCTGCATACTTGCGTCCACTTTTGTTAATTAAATAATTATTTTGTAGCTCTACTTGCTAATTACTTTTTACTCTTTAGACTTTTAAAACCCCAACTTTGACTTTGGCCGCCATTCATTCGCCACTTGCCACATTTAAGTAGACCTTTGTCTTGTGCCCCAAATACTCCACTTCCAATCCTTCCACCCTTTGTCCAATTGCATCCACAATAATACCCATCAGCTGCCGTTAAGCTGCAGTCATTTTTAGATCCCTGAATAAAAAAATATATATTTTTGTGTTCCACCTACGGCAAAAAAATAAATAATACAACACACAAAAAAATAGCCAAAAGCGAAAGCGAAAACATAAATGATGAGGCCGTAAATGTGGGCGATATGTAAACCAGCTCATTAGCATTTTAATGAGGTGCTTAGTATGCGTATGTCCTGCTTATCGGTAACCTAGCTTTTTTCATGCCACAAATTTCTGATATATCAAAGAAAATTTACAAATAATTTGAGTTTGATGTGGAACAAAATTGAACCTTTTGGCTTTTAGTTACTTTGTTTATTAGTATTAGTATTGGTATTTGAACTGCGCTTAAAAATCGCTTCTCTTCGTTGTGTTGACAGTTTTATTGTGCATATGTAAAAATTATAGTTTTCGGACAAATTTTGTATTGAGATTTTCAATCAATTGCGTATTAGTAATTTCCATTGATTTGAATTTATTGAGAAACTGTAAAAGCGTTTTAACAATTACGTATTTTCCTAGAAAGTATATCAAGTTTCTCCCCATAAAGTATATAAATTCTTTTTCGCATCGAGCCACGTTTATATGTTAACTGTTTGCGATACAAGACGCAAAGTTAAAGATACACGCTTGCCAATAACATATGGTATAGCCTTACAAGTTATTGACAAACTGTAGAAATTTCATTCAGATCGGATTCGAAACACAGATTTGGTTAAGCAAAACATAATATCTGCAGAGCATTTCAGAAACATTATAATTAATATATTTGCTTTTGTTTACTTCGGCTTTAAAATGAAAATTCTCTTTTAATTTTAGCTTCCGTTTCCGCTAAAATGCGCCGGATACTCTCTTCTTCATTATTTTAAGTGCCTGCCCCAACAAAGCAAATAGCCAAAGTAATGAGCACAAATTCTGTTTCTAATATTACAACTCATCAGTATGTAGCAGACGCTTTTTTAAGACTTACAAAAATTCAACAGCAATTTATCTTTACTTTTTAGTCGTTAGTATTTGTTGTTGCTGTTGTTGTTGTTGGTGGTATTTTTGTTATAATAGTTGTTGTTGTTGTTGTTAGTCTTGTTAGTCACACTTTTATAAATTGTAAAGCCGCATTTGCCGGCTTTGGCAGCGCTCGCAAAATGATTTGGCCAAATTGGCGCTTGGGCGACTTTTACATTTGCATAAGTTGCTGGCAAACAGAAAGAAAAGCATGAAAAGCAGGAAAAGCAGCCAAATTATTGCCGCTTTCTTTATTATCACGTAATGCCGAGCCGGAGGAACCGAGCACCAAAAAACATACACACAGCCAACGCACTTTTTATCACTCCAATTTCCAACAAAACACGGCCTTTTTTTCTTTTTTCTTTATTTTTATTTTTTTACATATATATTTTGTGTGTCGAGGGATTATACGGCACTCGGCACTCGTCCAGCGTTCGGTGTGCGCTCTTTATTTTCTTTATATATTTTTTGCTGGTTGTTGTTTCTCAACTTTTGTGTGTGTGATAAGACGCTTTCACTGCCATCCGCCGTTATCGTCCTGTTCGACGCGCGCACGACTGTCAACTGACTGGCTGGCTGGCTGTTGTCGGCAGCATCCACGAGTCGCCCAAGCCAGCGTTTCATCTCCGGCGACAAAGCTACAAAATCTCTCAATGTACTAAAAAGGGCGGCTCACTCACAAAGCAAACACACAGAGAGAGAGAGAGAGAGAGAGAGAAACTCTGAGAGAGAGTCTGCAAAGCGCTAACTGTCGGTGTTACTGACCTAGTAACCGTTTTTCAAGTTTACTCGTTGTGGCTGCTGCAAAAAAGTAACAACAACAACAACAACAACTGCAACAACAGCAACAGGAACAAAAACAGGACGATGGCTCTTTAACACCCTGTACACCAAAGGGGCATTATCTTGTTATTGCAATCAATTTAAGCAGACTTTCAGCTTGCTCAAAAATGATGTAAGTGGATAATTTTGGATACATGCCTTTCTGAGAAATTTTTCAGTAGATGTTTATACTAAGCCTGAAACGCAAATTGTGTTTTCAAATTTGCATGGAGTATTCTGTGTATCTTTGAGCCGAACCATGGCATAAAGTTCTCGGTTTTTTATAATCTTGTTCTCAAGTTCAGGCAGCCCAATATTTAGTCTCGTTCTTGTCGATATAGTCCTATTTGACTCTCTATCTGTTTCTATGCTAACTAGTAATTCAGTTGTGAAGCTAGCCATAAGTAATATAAATATTATCAAATTTAGTCTTTGATTGAACTCTCTTTCTTATCTTCGTGAGAAAGTGATACGATTCCAAAGATATCCATTTTAATTACAAGCTAGTTTTGATTAGAGCAATTAATTCGCCTCCCTCGAAGCTTGGTCATAATTTGTATCGGGCAATTGGATTGAATTTCTACCCCAAGCAAGTGCAACAAATGTTGCTTTAACTATTAATGACAAGTGATTCGGGTGAAGTTCAATTAGTTGCCCTCGCCCCGCACCCTGCTCTGGTCAACCCAACCAATTGTCTGCTTTAATGGGCATGCAAATTTGTGTGCGAGTAATCTGAACAATCAATTTTAGCACTTGCCACGTGCAAAAGCATTGCCAACGGAAACGGAAGTAAGCATAGCAACAATAGCAGAAAAATGAAAAAATCACACACACTCAAACACACTGTGTAAAACTCAATCATGTGAGCAACATGTGTGCACGCGTCGATACTTATTGGAAATTCAATTTTCAGTAAATGCACACAAATTGATTTCAACACACACACACACACACACATATGTGTGTATATGTGTAGGGTTGTTGGTGCCGTATTAAGTGTAAAACTTTTCAATTTACGTTTTGTTTCGTAGCATCAAATATCCGGAGAGCTGTCAAAAGTATTTGTCGAGAGATTTTCAAGTATGCGCTGCTGCTGACTCTTATACTTTTTTTTTTTGTTTTTGGCTCCTTTTTGGCCTGGCACATTTTTTATTAGATTCGAAGCGGGCCTGTGTGTGCGTGTGTGTGTGTGTGTATGTGTGTGTGCTCAGGTGTGTGTGCGATTTCTGTCCTGCCTCGTAACTCAACTCCACTCAACCTCTGGCATATGGCATACAGGTTGCTGCTTATCCGCGCCTGAAATTCCGCATCATGCAGAGCAAACACTTGTTAATTACTTTTATTATAATATACAGATACATATATACATGTATGTATATATATCAACGACTACAGTTGCACAGTCACGCAATTTGACCCCGACCCCCGCCCGACCTCGATAACCGCACAGCCTTGGCATTATTGCCTGTTGCTTTTTGCCTTGCTAATGGGCGGTCTCTGGCTCAATTGGCAAGCCTGAAGTGGTGGGTGGCCAATACACGGAGACGGAGGTGCTGTTACCACATACACATATGCCTGTGTGTGCGTGTGTGTGTGCATGTGTGTGTGTGGGAGCACACTCACTCACCGCAGCAGCTGATGTGGTCGGCCTACTTCCACATGCTCGAATAAATACTTGCTAGAGAACCCCACTCATTTTCATTCTCAATCTCACATTCACATCCCCCAACCCAAGCCTGTTCTTGTCGCATACAAGTAATTGCAATCAGCACCTTGGCAACGTGGCGCAGCTGGTCCAAAAAGTGTGCTTGCTCACAACATGTGTTTTTATATTTAACGCCAACGCCTACATAGACAGCTCTTAACCCTAGAACGTAACATATTTGCTGATAGCCCATCAAATCTAAGAAGCAACTAAAGCAGCTCTTTTTTTAAGCTGTTTTTTTTATGGAAACATTTATGAAGTGATCGCTTAAATAAGGTATAAATTGCAGTTGTGAATGCCTAGCTGGTGACTATAAATTGATATGAACAATTAAGTGGAACATCGGGAAGATAATGAAAGAAAAGTGGCCACTTGGGAAGTTCTTAACATAAAATACTAAGATATTACACGACCATTTGTTCTTTTAATAGATCCGTTCATGTTTCAATATATTCAAGTACTTAATAAAAATGCCAGTTAAGTTTAGCGATAAGGAATTAATGCTTGTTATTATTAATAATATGATTAATTAACTCATGTATAATGTAATCATATCTGCTGCTTATTATTCGCTTCATAATAAGAAAGAGAAGTTTGTACATACTGTTTAGTTTATTCTTTAAGTACATCAATCACACTTTGTCAGCACAACAGTCAGAGTTCGTCTCATTATTTTAATCGGCTTTCTGGTGTTAAAGTCATTTAGAGGAACATCCGCAGTTTCAGAAGGTGCCGCAATTTATATGCTAATTAACAATTCTTAATTACAATTTCTTACCGAATGCAGCTAACTGTTTATATATATGTATTTATATAGAGTAAAGGCAGTTCGGTTTACTTTATTATAATTACGAAAGTGTCGTACTTTGGGGTTGGGTTCTATGTGCGTGTGTGTGTAATGGTGCGTATGCGTAATCTAGCCAAACACTCGCCGCGTGTTTTGTCGGCTTAGCCAAATTGACGCAATTGTGAATTTTGGTATATTCCTGGTGGAAATTAAGCTGAATGCTGCTCAACATGATTGGCATTGTTTGCGATATCAATAGAAATCAGTTGAGGGACAATGTCCCCACTAAAATGGTTGCCATTGTTGTGTTGCCTGTCACTTTTGAGCCTGGCGCACTCTCCATGTCAGTCAGAATGCAAATTATTAAGCAACTAATTAACCAACGGAAATGAACGGAGTGTGAGAGGCAGAGACAGAGGGAGGCAGATGGACAAGCCCAGATCCTGAAACAATACCTAGATAAGGCGTCCTGGGAAAGCTTTTTGGGTGATTTAGAGGGTGGGTTGTGCAAAAAGCTTTTCCAATTAAATTTATAACTTATTTATGACAGAAAGTAATCTTCTTTGGGCATTAGGTGATGTAATAAAATTGATTGAAATATAATTGAGAATTGACATAAAAGCTAAATAAATAGACACACACACATGGCTCACACACATGGCTAACACACTCACACGCATACAGACACACACACTTGTAAAATCCTGGTTGACTTGGCTTGGCAGGCACTTACAATCAACGATTACCTTTACACCTGCCATTTTGAAAATAAGCCATAAGCGGAAATGACATCAAAAGGATATTGTTATATCGATGAGGCCAAAGTCAAGCCAAGGAGCACATTCAGCAGACGAGAACACTTCGTCGCCGTCGTCGAAAATAAATAGCAGCAGAGGAAGAAAAAAATAAAGTATGGCAAAAGGTGCCATAAAATAAATAACATAAGAAACCAAATAAACATTTTTTGGGCAAAACGAAAGAAAAAAAAGAGAAAAAAAATGGAACACACACCAACTTCCAACTGTGTTTTTATGTGTGTGTGTTTGGCATAAAATAGACTTATCCTAATGAAAAAAGTCTTGCAGGCACGTTAAGTAAGATATGTATGTGGATATCACACAAGGTAATGCTCACAGACAGACACAGGGGTTGGCTAGACTGAGCGCTCCAATAAGCTCAGTGTGTGTGTGTATGTGTGTGTGTATGTGTGTGTGGGTGTGTTGTAAGTCGTCGAAACGCTAAAAGTTAGGCAGGGCAATAGAGCAACTGCTAAGCAGCTTACAACTCCAACTCTCCAACTTTTTCTCTCCCTCTCCGGCTCTACAAAAACAGAGACCAGACTGCAATTGCTTTTGAGCGCAGCTTTCCTAATTTTATATTGAAATGGCTTACATCAGATTAAATCAATTATTTAAAGTAATTCCATCAATTTATGTAATGTCTATGGTTGAAGAACTGCTCTCTCGATTGCGGCCCACTTTCTGAATAATTTTTAACATGAATTTCGAGTCAGAATTGCGCTTTTAGCTTGGTACTCATATCAAAAATCGGTTCAGTTTTGAAAAACTTATAGCACTGGGAAGGGTTAGCCTCATTTTTTTTGCGCAGATATTTACGTAATAAAAAATGGTTTGATGGTGGGAAATGAATTATTAAGCAAACATTTCATTTATATATTTAAATGTATAATCCATTGTA